ACGTACCCAAAATTAGCCCCTTGAATTAGGCAACCTATACTTACAGACATGTCGGACCGGTTGCCTGTCCGTAGGCGCAAACGTGCCACCTCCTCGCATATCATGTGCTCCTGATACAAAAATGTAAAATCGGGCCAGAATCGCAATACGTACCGACCGTGTGCCCCTTGAATTAGGCAACTCATACTTACAGATATGTCAGACCGGTTGCCCACTCGTAGGCGCTAAAGTGCCACCTCTTCGCATATCATGTTCTCCTGATACCAAAATGTAAAATTTAAGCCAGAATTTTATACGTACCTAAGATTCCTAGTGCCACCTCTTCCCGTATCATCATCAAAATGTAAAATTGGTCAGTATTGGATACGGCTAGAATTTTACATTTTGGTATCAGTAGTATATGATTTGCGAAGATGTGGCAAATAGAAAATCTGGTACGTACCTAATTTGTCTCGATTGTGGTTTGATGGTTGTAGAAGGTATTAGGAGGTGTTAGAAGGCTTTATGAGTTTTTCGGAGTTGTTAGGAGATGTTAGAGGGTGTTAGGGAATATTAGACGGTGTTAGGAGTTGTCAAAAAGTGTCTGGAAGTTTCAGAAGATGTTGGAGATTGTTACACGATGTCAAAGGAAGTGATAGAATAGGTTAGGAAATGTTAAAGGGTCTTTGGAGGTTTCAGGAGATGTTACGAAATGTTAGAGACTGTTAAGAGGTTTCAGGAGTTGTTTGGAGATGTGAAAAGGTGTAGAAGCTGTTAAGAGGTGTTAGAAGGTGTCCATATGTGAAGAGAAAATTAGTGTCACTCATCGGTGTCTAACGCTGCTTGAACGAAAAGAGAACGAAATGTTTGTGGTCATGAAGTAGGCCCGAGTATGCCCCTGTTAGATATCGACCGAATTGAGCCAGTTTGTAGGCCAGGTAGCTATAGTGTTGGCGCAGAGATACCCCTGGTATGCTGCAACCGATACTAGCTTACTTGTCGGTTCGGTTATTACTTCGTAGGCGCAAAGGGGCCCCTTTCAAGCAGCAACCTATGCTTGCTTGTCTGTCAGTTAGGTTGCCATCCTGTAGGCGCAGGTATGCCCCGTTATACTGCAACCGCGGCTAGACTGTTTGTCGGTTTGGTTATCGCCTCGTAGGCGCAGCGGTGCCCCTTTCATGCGGCAACACCTATGCTTGCCAGTTTGTCGGTTCGGTTACCATCCTCCAAGCGCAGGTATGTCCCCGTTGTACTGCAACCAATTCTAGCCCGCTTGTCGTTTTGGTTATCGCCTCGTAGGCGCCGATGTGCCTCCTTCATGCGGCAACCGTTAGTAATTTAATCTCATTTCGGCTGCCATCTCGAAGTTGCATCGTATACGATTACACAACTATGTTGGATAAAATGATAGTTGAAAAACTGATTGCAACTGCAATTTTTAAAATATATTAACATTTACTTACTTTGACGTAGAGTACTCTTAATTTGAACACTTTACGCGAACAAAGCTGCACGCGAAGGTAAAACGTAAATTTATGAAGTAACAATACTGTAGCATGTCATGGTGAATTAAATTAAAATGATTTATTAAAGAGCAAACAAAAAAGAAGCTATTTAGGTTGCACACTGTTTTTATTATGTGTATCGCCCAGAGTACTAATAAATAGCATTACAAAATAGAATTTGTAATAAAAAAAAAGTGATATGATTAAGAAGCGCATTAGAATCTCATTTGAAACGTATATGTTAGCTGAGCTTTACTTCTGGGTACTAAAAATTATTGACTTTTTTTTTGTATACCATTTAGTACATTTTGATGCCTAGATCACAAAAATGGAAGTTTTAATGTTTAACTTTTAAACCGTTGGATTTCTAACCTATACGTTTATTGTGAATGACGTTCGAGCGCTGATTATAAATGATTATAAATAAAAAAAAAGAAGATAAAGTTAGATTAAAATCAGTAATTGCTACTGACAGTAAAATCTGCTAACATCACAGAGGTAGACTTTCTGGAATGTTGAAGTACAATTACTATATTTACACTGTAAATAAGCTATTATTAAATGCTTTCCAGTTCTGCAAAAAAAGTCTGTAGCTACCTTATTTCCTACCTAGTACACATTCATATTTTTTTAAATCACATGATCAATCAAATACTCACAATTAGTCACAACTATAAAGCAATCTTTTGTACTTTTTGACAATGAATTAAATAACAACAATTTCTATCTGATTGCGAGATATAATAAAAAAAACTTGTCTAAGTTTCATGGGTACTTGACTATAAGTACGAAACATTTATGTCCATAAAGCTGTCGGCATAATACCTTCTACTGTACTAGCTGCAGGTTTCAAATCCTCGTTACATAGAAAGTTTTGTGGCAGATTTACCAAATGACCCTAAGACAAAAACGTGGAAAATCGTAAACTTGTAAAAGTAATCTCCACTTAAATTTCTATAACCTAAATTCGTACCTTAATTTCATCCACCATTTCTTGAGCTAAAAGTGGATCTGATGAACACAGTGGTTCCTCATCCTGATACAACTTCAACATAGAAAAATTGACGACTTTATCCGTTGGAATGCAGTGAAATACTTCTTCATAAATTTCCGTATTTCGATTACTTCTGGCACACCATATGTCTCTGTAGAATGATTTCTTAATTATGTCGGTCATGTCTATATCTTCATTTGTCTTGTGTAGCCCTAAGTGTTCAGACATTAATTCTTTTCTTAACGACCCCGCAAATTTACCGCAGGGGAAAGATATATTATTCATCCTTCCATCTTCAAATTCTTGATCCTGAAATCATGCAATCATGTTTAATCAAAATACGAATTAAAGAATATAACTTAATAAGAACTAAATCATCATTGAAAAAAGATGAAGCCGCTAGATTCTATCCGTATTTCCTTTGTATTTTGGGATCGATAATACTTACATGAATTATTACTGCAATCTCACTGTCCCTTGTTGCTAGCATGCTTCTGTCATTAATATTAGCGGAGCCACAAATGACTGTGTTGTCATCTACAATTAATAGCTTGCTGTGAACATAAATTAACTCTGTCACCAATGTACCATTCAACATTGCATGTGTCCTTAAACCGTGAAATGTAATATATTCACTAGGATCTTCTATTCCCTTTTCAATCAATCGATTTAGAATTGCATCTTTGCCTCTGTAATAATTGAGAAAATACATACTCGCATTGTTTAAACGTATGTCTCCTTAAGTGTAATTGGTTTGAAGTAAAATATTTACCTCGATATGGAAGCGTAATTCCACTGAGTGATAGCGCGTAAGGCTGTGCCACTTGCTCCTCCAACTTCTCCTTCGAAGCCTGGCAGTAGAGGCATTATTACAAATACTCTAAATATCGCGCCTTCGCGATGAGCTCTTACAATTCGTTTATATAGCGTTTCTCCGATACGGTTTTTTACTGCTGTTCGTTCCATAGATGTAAGTGTTATAAAAAATTGATTCTCTATGTATATATACCTAAAAAATTCTAGTATTAAAGCCTCTGTATGTATTGTCTTGCGTACAAATATAAATTAATTCTACCTTTCAGCCTTACTGATGGCGTCGATATAAGCTTCTTGTATACTTCGTTCTAAGGTTTGAGAATCAAGAAAACCAGCGGACCAAGAGCTAACTGATCTTAACACTTGGCATTTAACATTGTGTACAGCTGCCTTTTCAATAAATGGTGCATAGCTTCGACAGTCTTTATACGATTTTGGAAGTAAAAATGGATAACATGGATTCAATTTCGCCTTCTCCATCTACAAATATTAATTATGAAAATATTCAAATTACATATTGCTCGTGGAATATTTCGTCCCCTTTTTAATTATTTAATTATAACTCGATAATGACTTGCAAATCTAAACTGGAAATCTATAATATTGTATAATTGTTATTAAAAATAATATACGCGTTATTCAACAGATTACTGAAAATTTGAAAATTCTTACTTTGATCGCATTCCAACGCTGAATAAAGTGTCTAGCAACATCTCTAGCTGATGCACCTTGGACCATAACTCCCATGTCATGCCATGGCATTCTAGGAGTTGTGCTCCTATCTACTAAATCCTGATAGGGTTTCTCAAGATCATTAAAGTCTTTAACAATAAAGTTTGTGTAATCCTTTCCGAGCCATAATTTAGCTGTACCTGGGTACTGCGAAAATGTGTCTACTTCGTCACTTACCATTGATTCATTAGTTTCAATTGGAGTTTCTACTGTAGCGCTGAAACAATTTGAATCAATTTGTAAGGACGTATTAATTTTTAAAACAGTATGTGGTTCGTTAAGAAAGTGAGTTTACCAATCCACAGTATCTTCTTCATCACTGCTTTCCTCGTGGGGAGTATACACCATGTTAATCAGCTCCTGCCTTTTTAATTTTATATTTTGTTTCACTTTGCCTACAGTATCTTTAGCCATGCCAAATAGATTTTTACGCTCTGTATTCGGGGTATTACATTTTACGGTATCAAATGTCTCTGGTGATTGCATTAAAATTAAATCTTCAGGATTTAATTGTGGCAGTGCTAGTTGCATTGTTGTTCTAGTGTCTATCATTGGCCTAAACAAATTTATTTATTTTTGACTCATTGTTCATCTTCCCTAGACTCAATTTTCCGAGACTATTAATATAAAAGACTTACCGTACAGGTATAGATCTTGTAGTAGCCAGTACGATTGTATTAGTCGCGATAGCTAATGGTAGCATGACATGCTTCTGTGTTTTAGAAGACGATACTTTTTTACTGCTGGTATTTGTTTGTTTCCCTTTGGATGGAATATAAATAGTAGATTGATGAGTCGAACCTACAATTGAAAACCATGTAATTTAATGTAGTTTAATGACGGTTCAAAAAATTCAGTTTCAAGCTTCATTTACCTAAATCTACTAATCTGTGTTGATTATTGTCCCATCGACCATAGCATAAATCAATGCCACCAAGAAATGCAATAGTTTGATCAACGACTACAATTTTTTCATGATGCGCCCAAAGAAACACGCCTACTCTCGCATGATCTGGATGACGCAATACTTTTATGTTGTCGGGGCATTTTTCTACAAGTTGTTGTTTACTATAGAAACTGTTTATGCCTAGCGCGACTTCCACTTCTTTATAAATCATTATAAATACCTTCACCCCCTCGAACTGAATAAAAAATAAATTATAATTATTCTCACAGGCTGTTTAATATTTTATAGTAGTTTATACTTTAACGTTAATTACAGCATCCTTACCAATTATCCTTCCTGATGTATCATGACAGCATTAATACATTCAGGAATATAACAGATTTCAATACGATTTAATACGATAGTTCAAATAGTTTTTAAAATAATTTCTTAGAAATACTTACAGCTTTTCTCTGTAAGATCTTATCTAGTCGCCAATAATCGCTATTTATAGCTGGCCTCTTCATAAATATTTCAGGTGATAACCACCAGTCAGCAATAAAAATTTCTTCTTTAGCATTTTCCAATGCATCTGCTACAGCAGACATGTAATTTGCTCCATCGACAAACCAAGTGGCTGGTACAGGCGACCGACAAGGTGCAAACGAGTTATGCGGGTTCGACTGCGTAAAATCTCGGCCTGTAGTGAAACAATTCATTAGAGTGAATGTAGAAGATTCAGATTTTAGGTTACATAAAGAACTTACCTTCCTTATTACTAAGTTCTTGTATAAATTCCATCCATTCTTTAGCTTGTCTTCTGGTCCAACATTTGATTATTATGTGTCTGCTAAGATTTACTATCTGCATACCATTTCTTAAACCTGTTGTGTAGAGACCAAAACTAATTCCAAAGCCATGGTCCATTAAAATTACTGATTTTATGCTACCATCTTTTGGTCTAATGTAGGCAACGAAAGTATCTTTAACAATAAGATGTCGAGAATGCCATTTGCCACATATATATGTACACAAATGAGTGCACGTGACACAAGACACGCTTTCTAGCAAGCCACAGAGATTGCATCTAGTTTTTGCACCTGATCCAGTTCTTTTCAAAATAAGTCCTTCTTTACCTCTCATTCCTAAATCTGCTATGAATGATAAATGGGAGATTTCTAAGAAGTTGATCTGAAAATATTTTAGAAGTTAATGTATCTAGTAGATAATATTTATTCTAAATATTAGCACATCATATTAACTTACAGTCTCTGGATGTTGTCTGTAAAGCTTTATTTTTAATAAATTAGCTAAGTACTCCTCCAACACTTTCTTCCTATGATCTAATTGCTCGTAAGGTACCAGAACATCAGGCTTATTCGGAAACCTGTACAAATTATTCGTTTTAATATTGGTTTTTTGGGAAAACAGGTTTTTCATATGTAGTTATGAAGCTACTCTTCATACCTTGGCAGAGCACCTCGACGACGTTTTCTTTCTTTCACATCTCCTAAACTTTTTAAACTACTTCTCCTCTGTTTATGACCTTTAGTTGGAAAAGGTATATCCAAGCTAGTACGGTATATTTTTAATTGATTGTGTAAATACTGAATATGTTTATATCGTTTCTTAATCGTCCATCTGAATGGACCATGACTAAATTCTATTGTGTACAAATTTGGGTTCAAAGGATGCGTTGTTACACTACGTTCAGTATCTATGATCTTCACATGCACTTGTTCACCAGGAATAAAAACACCACGGCTCTGACTTTTAAACTTTTTTGGTAAGTTATGTATAGCAGAGAAAGGTATCACACCTTGCCATTCTATTATTGACAAAGAAAAACAACACACAAGTGTATCTCATTAATATGTTTAGTATATTAACCCTTTGCGGCCTGAAGTCATTTTGGTTGGATTATTTGCATACTACTAAGAGATAATAATTCTGAATATATTTTATTATCAAATTGTTAAGAAATGAGCTTTCAACATTACATCTTTGAGCCAATGACTTGTAAGGCACAAATATCTAGACTTTAAATCGCAAAGGACTAAACAGGTTAATGGTTACAATAAAAATGGGTATAACAGAACATTTACAAATAGTTACAAACTCACCTATATTGTCAGTATCTTCCTTTGAATGAATGTTAACGGTATCATCATTTTCATTAGCAGTACCATCCAAATCAGGTACACCCAACGCATCATCAAATTCTGAATCATTAAAGATCGTATGATCTATATGAACTGTCTCAAACTTCTCTTCATTTGATATATCAGACATGATTAGTAGTATATTAGTAAATCATAGGATCTCACTAGGAATCTAGAGTTAAGTTAAATTTCTTAAAGCATGAAACACTATCACTTTGTTACTTCTTTATTGCACCAAGTTGCAGTACACATCGTTTTTAAGAATTATACCAATTTTTCGTGGTCACGAACGGTTTCACTAATTCATGACAATTAAAAGACAGTAGACATACTTTTTAGAAACAGAAATATGTGTCATGAGTACTTATAGAAGTGGATAAGACTTTCAATTGAACAAAGACGCTATTATGACACAGAACTAAAGGATTTTCTTGTCTGAGGAATTAATCTGATGCAGGTGGGAGGGGTCTAGTGTTGGCTATAAATCCATTTAAAAGTAATTTACTGTAATGACAGTAGAATGAATGTTTCCCATAGTCTTCTCACGATCTGATTTACTTCGTCCACGTAAAAAAAACAAGTCGATTGGAATTTCTTCATAATTCTACAATTTATGAAAAGATACGAACAAAAGATTATTTTGATAATTGTGCGATCACTTGAAAAGGATACAGCTTTCTATTGCTACATGTTGCACTATTAAGGTTACGAGTTACGAATAGAAAGTGCTTTTGTTCATGTAAAAATTGAAGATAATACATTCTTCGGTTAAACTTTACTTTGGTGGACCTAAAATTTTCAAGTGTTTTTTACATAAACCTGTAGATTCCGGCGAGCAATTATCTGATCAGTATTCATTATGACAGCTTATGACACGTACACATGTGTTTCTTTTTATCGCGATCGAAATGATCTAAGCCAATCTAAGGAACTGTCCACTCTACCGGTACGATAGATGCTTTACTAATTCTTACCTTACATAGAGAAACTATTTCATGATTGCGTTAATACTTTATCGACGGTAGCATATTTATCGGCTTTTTTTCTTAAGAAAACCCATATCTTGTTATCTATTATTGAAATAACATTCAATGCTATCTAAGTGTTAAAATTATATACTTCGGAACAAAAAGCTAACATTTCTAGGTTTATCAACAATAAACTAGTATTTCGTATGTTAAATGTATTTACATGATCTCTGCACGTTGAATCTGTTTTATCGATAGATCCTAAAGATGAAAAGAACAATAAGTAAACGCATACAGTTTAGTGTTCTACTTATTATTAGAAGCGAATACGATTTTACTAGTAACGATTTTGAAAGTATTTTTCTATGACTCATCTATTTCATTTTATACATTAAACTCTTTTATCTTTTATCTTTTATCTTTTATCAATCACTAGGCGGAAAATTAAAATATCAGGCACAAGATTGACAAAAAAATTATGTACAGTTTTCCTCTCAAGTGAGCTTGTATACATTTCTTCAACGATACAAAAAGTATCTACTGTAGTGGTTGCTATCAATTATATCTTATCAATGATTAAATGTCAGATACAACTAATTCTACGACGTTAAGATATTGATATAAATGTACTATACGTTGACATATAAGTTTCGGTCCGAAAGGTCAAATGTTCAATTAAACAAAATTGTTTTGCATTAGAGTCTATCTACTTTTTAGTATATGTATCTGACACAGATTAGAATTTCATATATTATTATTTCACACTATACATGTAACTTCTATTTAGTTTATTTAATCGTATTATTTTTAATCTAAAATCTTGTTCCTTTAAATAGGAATTCATGCAGAAGCTGAAAAACATTGTCGTGGAATATTATTCAGAAGTATTATAATAAAAGAAGTAGCATTAAAGAAAATAATTTTTAAATACTAATTACGTGAATTTTTTGACGCCTGTATGCTGCTACTCCACGTGGCGCATATACGATGCGTAACAAATGGTTGCATACCTTCAGGGGTCACATGTAGATATAGAAGTTTCCTTTAAAAGGATTCAAGACTCTTGTGGTTTATAAAATTTATAGAATAAAACCTAAAAGTAATTCTGTCATTATGAAATATAATAAAAGACTGACTTTTATGTAACAAAATTATAAAGTCTTTATTGTATATATATAGCAAAAAATGTTTTCCAATGAAAATTCAATTGAATAAAAAAATTCAATATTAAACATTGTTATTGTTACTAAGATTGCGTTTAAATTATGCGAGAAAAGAATAGAAGAAAACTGACACGCGTCTCAAAGGGTTCGAAAACGCGTAACCTCGTTTTGTGTTACTACTGTGCACTCGTGAAACATTGCGATTGTAATTCGAGAACGATATTTCTGGTATTATGGAGTGCACACAGGAAACGAGTCAAGTAATGGATTATTAGAAGGTAATTGTTTGGTTTTGCGATCTACTTTCGAATTGGAACACAAAGCATCGATTTTGTTCCTGATTTAGAATGTCAAGGGAAAGCTACGCAATGGAGACGCAAAAGAAAGCTTGTAATATTAAAAAAATCTTGATTAAAATCTTATTTAGATCTCATGCAGTCATATTATTCTAAACTTTCGATGTAAGATTTGTAATATAATATTAAATATCTATTTGACACTTGTTCTATTTTACCCATAGAACTTTTCAATAATATTTCTTTCCTATACTATGATAATGCTTTTCTTTCATTGCTTCCAAGTGTAATTAATTATACTAATCAAGAGAACATATTTCCTTGGAAGGCAAAGTGAAATATCGATTGAAGATTATTATAGCATAAGTATGATTCGTAGATTAGTCAATTAAAAGGAATGATATATTTTTTTGGAATTTTTAAAATTTGTAGAAAATACTTGAAAAAAATAAATATTAGAATAAACGCAGCAAAATATTTTATTTTTTGTATTATAGTTGATATTTTATATATTAGGTTGTCCCGAAAGTTTCTTTCGCGAGTTGCACTCAATTATTTTATGTGGTCGTGTTTATATAAATAGACAATCTAATTTCATAGATACTCATGTTGTAACAGTAATGGAGCGAAATGAATCGTCCACAATTCAGTAATATAACATAAAACATAAAATATTGTGCATGCATTACTTATTAATGAAGCGAAAGAAACTTTTGGGACAACCTAATATTTTTGCATTTGTGCACATTCTCATCGGTTCTTCCATGTTTCCATTTAAGTTCGACTGTATTTTATTTTATTTAGTTCACCAACAAGAACAGCTCCCTGAAGAACTTTTCTGAGCCTTGACCTTATAAAAATTATCAATATAAAATAAACAAATGAATAAAATGCACACATGCAGAGTAAGTAGAGATGACAGGTACGAGGACAGCAGCTTTCAATTTTAACTTATCGCGCGGCCCACTTCGCCAAAGTGGTTCATATGTATGTTGGATCGAAGATATAGTGTGGAAAAAAAGATATTTGCACATCCATTTTTTATTTTGTACTGAAGAATTAATTGCGAAAGATCGAGATTAAGGCGAAAAGAAAAATGATGACTGAATTAAATTGGTAATCTCGATTGTCATAATGTTTTTATCAGTTCAGCTTCTTTATGTGTAAAATGAAATGAAATTGATAATTAATTGAATAATTAATTTATTATTGATATCAACTAATGTTGTATATGAGTAAAACGAAATTTTATATAAAGTTATATAGACTATATTGTTATACAAAAAACGCGCAAAGATTTTTTTGTCAATATCAAGCTACCATATTATATCTCAAATATATAAAATATTAAAATACATTATCTCCTTAGTTGTGAATCTACTCGATTAAACTCACAAAAGTTAGATTTGACTGCGTAACAAATGAACTCTTGCACTTACGAACATGAAAGTCGATCACGTTCCGTAATATCACATTCAACGTTAAAAGCACGTACGATAAATGAGGTTATTTCACATAATTACGAGAAAATTAGGTGTGCAGAGATAAAGGGTCTTCCAAAGGGGGTTTTATAATTTTGTGTTTTCAACACTTCTGGCCTCAAATAAGCAAAAATTAGCTGCTCTATGTAGTTCAATGAATATGCATCTTGTTCAGATTTTCTCTTTTCAGAAGGAAGATTTCTTGATGAATTTTAAAAAACAAACTCAAAATATATGGAGCAAATTGACAGACATTTTTTTTTTAAATTAACTACGCTATGTAACAGTTTAATAAATCCTTTTCTTGCTCAAATTTTCCTTCTGAGAAGGAAGATTGCTTGCAGAATTTTATAAAAAGAATCCAAAGTATATAGGTCAAAATAGGTTTGGTAGTTCTAGCCTTAGAAATGTTAAAATTAGCTACTCTATATACTTTAATAAATATTCATCTTGTTCAGATTTTCCCCTATAAGAAGAAAGATTGCTCGAAAAATGTTAGAAAGGAGTCCAAAGCACATATGTTAAATTGACCGACTCGATAGTCAGTACGATCTGTCCAGCATAACTACGCCAACAGACTGTATCATTCACACTTTAAGGACCGTTAGCCTATTAATCATCATTTTGGAAGCCAACCAGTACTCTGTTCTCTATTACTGAGACGTATGCTTCCATCATTATGTGAATTATAAAATATTATACAAGTATCAGTCAGAAAATGATTCTAATGGACAAAATAAATATTGCATTAGACTGTATAAAAAGTTCCTTGTGTTCATGATGATGGTTGTCTTCCTGCAGTTCGAATGATTATTAACTTGACGAGAACTTCTACAATCGCGGAATATTGAATTTGCCCTAAACACGAAGAAACAACAAGATAGACAATATGTTATAGAGTAAATACATTTCCTTGTCCAAGAAAAAATGTTGTTCATTTATGTGTTGATACTAATATTATCAAAATAAAAAAATATTATCGAATTTAACCACGTATCCAATCTCGAGCAGTTGGTGAGGTGGATAAAAAGAAAATCCTAAAGCTCCTTTTGGAAAACCCTTTGCATTAATTGCCGGCTGTATATCCGCGTATGTATCTACGATCGCAGGAAGTCACGCATATCAAAGTAGCTATCAGTCAGTAAGAGGAACGAGGCGACCTGTCGTGGGAGGGGAGTGCTTTCGAAGTGTACCTGTCTGAGGGTAGGGGCAGCTGGAGTGCCACGCAGAGAGCAAGCAACGACGGTGGTGGTGGTTGGCGGTGAGCCGTAGACTCCGGCGAAAGGGAAAATGGTCGGGCGAACACTTTTTTTTCTCCCCCATTTACACCCAGGTTTTTTGACACGGTCGTCGGTTCGATCGACTTCCATTTGTCTCCGAGCATTCCGTCGACCAACGTCCAACCACGCGCTCCTTGCACCGGTGCAAATCGAATTCATCGCGAGGATGCGCGACGCTCGTGTCCGTCTCACTTAATCACGAGCACGATTCGCGCGAGTTAACGTGAAAACGTCGTCGATAACGATTTTCTCGCGGTTCTATTTCCACGTAAGTGTGCTTGGAAACTTTTGACAGATTGAACAATTGCGATTGTTTCGTTTGAAATTCGGTTTCTCTGTCGCGTATCGTCCGTGATCGTTGATCGTGATCTGTGCGCGGCTGGGGTACCGCGGAGCGAGTAGGACGATCTGTGACGATCTGGTGAACTGAAATGATACATTGGATAAGGCTTGTTTAAGAAGTTGCAAGGTGAGCACGGGATGATCTTAGGGAGTGATTGATTTTTTATTTTATTGAAGTGATTGCTTTGTCATTGATTTTATATCTATTTTGTATATATGATTGGAGTAATTATTTTGCCATTGATTTTGCATTTATTTTGAATTTTATTGGAGTGATTACTTTGTCATCGATTTTGTAATTTAGTTATGATTGATTATGTATTTTACTGGAGCGATTACTTTGTCATTGATTTTCTATTTTAATTTTGATTTATTGGAGTGGTTACTTTGTCATCGATTTCGTATTTTACTTATGATTGATTTTGTATTTTACTGAAGTGATTACTTTGTCATTGATTTCGTATCTATTTTGTATTTTATTGAAGCGATTACTTTTCCACGTAATTCTTTGATGTTTCGTAAGAACAGCGTGTGGTATAAATTGTTTTTTTTTTTTTAATCAGCAATAAGTGTATTTAAAAATGTCACAATTCCTGTGGGTTATGTATAGACTGTAAAATTCTATGCAGAATAAAATCATCGCAAATGTACCTACAGAAATTGAATCTAAATAGAAATGTATTTTACTCTGCAAGTATTATAATAAAATTTTATTTTCTTACACATTCAAATTTTCTATAAACGCATAAACATTCGAAGTCTACTTATGTATCAAAGTCAAATCAGTTCATGCATTTATAATTTTAGTAATTTAACCTAAGCCCGCGTTATTTTTATCTTATTTAAGCCCTTCTTATAAAATATCGAAGAATTGTCAAATTAAAAATCATGTGTTTAATTAAAAAATAAATTTCTAAAGACCCTTTTGTGAAATCTCTTATTTTTTTAGGTTCAATTCTCTTGTAATTACGTTCAATAAACGAGTGACATATTAAATTATATCGAAACGGAAAATTATTACTTGTTGCTATAGAAAATTAATCACCAAGAAAATAGTTGAATAAGCATAGCTTAAATTATTTAATTTAAATGTTGAACCATTAGGGGAAGTAGTAAGAAGAATGTTTTGACAGTGATTTATAATACTATTTGTACAACGTCTCGATTTTCTATGTTTTGGAATAAAAATATATTTTAAAATATAAGACAAATTACAATGAACGATTTTAATAAGCGAATTTATATATTCTGTAAAAATAAAAGTAAAAGGGTATAAATTGATGGTAATGATGCCAATTTTTTCCAAAGAAAATATTAAACATTTCCAACTTTTAGGTATCGGTTAGTTTCATACCTACATCTATTTTTTGAAATACAAAGATACCTTTAAAATATAAGACAGTTAACAATCTACGAGATTAAATAAGCAAATTTAAATATCTTTTAAAATAAAAAATTAATATAACATAAATTGGAGGTAATGATACTGACTTTTTCTGTTACAACTGCTAAGTTTTACCGACGCTACCATGAGTACTGTCTCTTTTAAAGAAAAATCTATATCCTCCTTTGAAAAATCTTCTATAAATATGGATTACATTTAGCTAAACGTTGCTGCCGGATGAGTCGATAGGTCTTTTTGTCTTAGCATGGGAAATCCGTGACTAAGCTGTTCAGATTAATCTTCGCAAGGCCGTTCTTCCAACGAGGGGAGCAAAGATGTACCGAAAGATTGCGTTCTAGTTCTTTTTTTCCGACAATTGTTTCTAAACGTTGAACACTCGAGGTTAGGCGATAATGAGGCTCTAAGAGCTGTCCTTAAACCACTTTTGCGATCGGTATGTCCAATTACTAATTGGGTTCGATTCGAATACCTCGTTTCGCTTCGTTGTTCAGCGATCATTGTATGGAAACAACGGATTAAATCAAGGATACGAAGGACATAGACCTTTTTTCATTTATATATTTACTTATCGAAAATAACAAAAAAATCTTTTTTTGGAAAAATATGTTTAGAAACATTTTTAAAATCCTTGAAATTATTATTTCTCTTGGGTAAAATAAAATGTGTCTATCAAAGATTCTGAAGCTACCAAAGATGTAACTATCAAAGATTAGGCTTAGGAGAATGATCACGTTGGAAGATCGAAAAAGTCGAAATATGTTTGTTAGATTGAATAGATTAATTTTGATTGGTCCTTGATGAAGATATCGGATTCGTATTCGTACAGAAACCATTTATTTTAAATGGGTTGCTGTACGAATACTTCTTACACTGACTGCAGTTCAGGACAATATACTCATCTTCTTTTTGCTGATATGTGAAAGAAAAAATTATGGAAATCTCGTATAGATGTATGACATAATGCAGTAAAAAATTTAGAACATTTTAGAACATGTTAAAATGATACTTAATTTCAGGTCATTGAATTTCTTTGTTTCCCCGAATGAGTATATAAAACGGTACTAACGTCAAATGGTCACATAAAAAAACCCCATAAAATTCCTTAAGAATACCAAACTGTGCTACAAAATCTAACTTAACAAGGAAATAAAAAAGAAACAGCGAACTCGCTAATGACCGAGAAGTCGATGCGACTCTAAACTCCGATATGAAGAAAACAAAAAATTTCTATCAAATGTAAAATCGATCGAATAAAATATGATCATGCGGCACAGTCTAGTTAAAAATTTCAGAATCTTTATAACGCAACGTAACAATACTCAATTGTAGGTTGTTGTATTTTTCTATCTTCCTGAATTCACATTATTTATAAAAACATGGACAAAATTGGAATTACCTGTCAAGAAACGGCGATGACCTCTTCACGGAAACATTCTTCGTTGAAAATACCAGCCAAAGGAGCAGAAATCAGTGGCCATGTAGAAGGTACCAGTAGTCAGTAGTCGGTAGTGGTCAGCCAGCCAGCGGAGCAGTAGTCAGCTGTAGTAGGCAGAGGTCAGCCAAGAATCTTGACCACCGGAGAGTATCCAAGGATAGTCACAAGTCACAAGACACACGCGAAGTCGCCATATCCGTTTCGCCCGAAGGATTTGCGAAAACTGATGACCGTCTAATAGTTCTCTCACCGATAGATTATTCACTTAGCTTCACTGTATTTTTCTAACTTACAACTTTCTTTCTTAATTATCTACAATATAGAAGTATAAAACCTTGTACGTTTAAACTTGTTGCCTTGTACGGAGACAAATACATACTAAAGGAGTACTATTCGTATATATTTTTCACTTTTGCTTTTCAACAGAAATGTTTTAATATTCAAGTTATACGTAATAATTCCATTAGTTCTTCTGCACATACAATCCTTTTCACTTTCAAGTTTCTATATTAACCCTTCGCACTCGTAGCCTTTTTTAATGGTATCTACCAGCAACTCGAGATGCTTTCTCAGCATTATATTGCCAGAAATGTTAAGCTTAGGTTGACTTCGAAGATGAGATTTCTAATTTAAGATTTGAAAATCAGACCACCCTTAACCCTTCGACAATTATTTTATTGACACTTCGAGTCCTAATGAAATTAAACTTACACAAATATTATTGCTGGTTGATTCACTGCGTCAAACCTGCATCACGTTAAGATGTGATTGAGAGTCACCTCTCGAGCACAAAGGGTTAATTATTTTTCCCACTTTTTCCTGTGTTTTCTTCTTCATCAAATTATCACATTTCTCTCGATTTATCTTCTATACTTCATCCTATTCAACTTACAATAATTTCTAAACGTTCTTATACAATAATGTTTCTGACGGGTGTCCTTGAGGATCGGATTTACGAAACAATAAACGAGCAAGTGTGTACTTCCGCGCGCACTCGCGACTCAGGTCAGAATGCCACTAATTTGCCCCACTTATCGAACAGTCCCATTTCGGATTTTTTCCTTTCCAATTCGGTTTCGCTCGGTAGCTTTCGTGACCGCAGATAATCCTATGGAAAATCTACGCACACTGACTCACAGTGTCACAGGGATGCGCGGATCCCCCTTCCGGATTTTCTGATTTTGGGAATCCCTCCCTTCGGCACGTTATCATGGCTTCAAGGCCGTAGATCCATCTATCGGTTTCTCTATGCAAATAGGTTAGCATTATTTTATTTTTCTAAATGGTACAAACAATAGAACATTTTTATATCTGTCAACTAACTTATGATACAACTAATAAAGTCTTCTGATCGTAACAAATAAATTCATTTAAACCACACATACGTATTTCTATACATGTATATAGTACTAACATATGTTGTATAGTACTACATAATATACATGTGGGTATTTCTCGCCCCTTCAGTTGAGTATTAATAAATATACAGGGTGAGGCATTTAAAACAGGCCACCTGAATAATTCGCTTACTTTTAGCGATAGAAAAAACAAGTGTCGAACAAGAGTTACTTGATTTCGAGGGACACGTAACGTGGCGTCAATAACTTTTTTATCGGTGGAAGCGTAGAGGAGACATTATGATCGATTCTGTTTCTTTAAATAGAACGATACAGTTTCTAATAAACATTCTGATAGAGCGTTTCAAGAAGAATACAATCACCTATAGTTGAAGGTTATTTAAGGTTATACAGGCTGGCTGTAATAGAAAATAAATTGTTTCAAGGCACTCTTCAAATATGTCGTTAATAGCGACATCAATTGAATAGTTTCTAATACACATTCTGATAGAGCGTTGCAAGAAGAATACAATCACCTATAGTTGAAGGTCATTTAAGGTTATACAGGCTGGCTGTAATAGAAAATAGATTGTTTCAAGGCACTCTTCAAATATGTCATTAATTTTCTTATTTGCGCGCTCACTGCTACAGCAAATCTTCGAAATGATGACCTTGAACTTGGATGCATTTTCTAAAACGTGTTAACGTAAGAAACAATGCACGATGAACTTGATTTGGATCAATTGCAATGCAAGCTCTTCTTATTCGCTTCTTCGTATCTTCTCTGGTTGTTGACATTTCGCTGTATACTTGCTGTATACTTTCCCCATAAATCAAAATCCATGGCTATAAAAATTAAGAGAACGTCCAGGCCATTTAATAATCCCTGTCAATCCAAATGACGAGCCACGAGACGGCACAAGACCTGAATGGATTAACGCCTTAACCGC